CCAGCCGAATCTTAAATCATGTCCTTCTAATTTTAATAACCTATGGTTTTCTAACGTGATCCATTCTTTTAACCATATAAAACCACAGGCCTCATAGTATAATCTTAGATCTGGTAGACCGAATCCTCCTCTTTCTTTAGCATCTTGTAATAAGTTAAATTTTATCCTTGGTTTTTTCCCTGCCAAATAAATTTCGATAAAGCCTTCAAAATATGGCAAAAGGACCTATCTGTTATTAATATTGGTATGGTTTGGAATAGGAATAGGATTCTAGGTAATATATTCATTTTGATCATAGAAATTCTCCCCATTAAAGATAGGTGGAAATTTTCCCATCTTAATAAATCATTTTTGTCCCTTGAGCCACTGTTTATATAATAACACAAAACAAGAACATGACTAGGCTGTTAACATACACTGCAACATTCAAAAACATAAAATTGAATTAGGAGACAAAGTATCAATCAGTGTCTAAGAGCAGGAACCAAAGTCAATCCAGAAATAAAGAGCTAGGGAATCAATAAACCAAAGGTAAATCATGAACACAGTACAATAAAAAATGAACACTGGCTGTTCACTGAACCCAGAACTGCTGTGCTCCATCTGCCAGCCAGTAAGACCTCAGAAGAAATTCTTTGCTAGTATTTTTGGTCCCAAGGATGCCTGTACCTAAAACATAAACTTTGGTCTAAACCTGCAAACATTTGCAATTTCAGTCTCTCCTCTAATTAGGGACTGCCATGTAGTTGTCCAAAGCTGAATCTGCATTTCCTGAGCTCCTGGCTGAGTAGGGCATCCAGCACATCCAGTGGTTCATTTTTGGAATCTGATAAGATTTCCGGAAGAGGAGGAATGGCATCCTTGTGTCTTCCTACCTCTTGAAATTCCACAACCAGCCAGAACTGAATTACCAGATTTAAATTCCAGGTTGGGTACAATGTCCCTCAATAGGATACTATTTCCCAATTATTGTTTTCATCACAGCAAGGCAGAAAAAGATACTCAAAAGGGAACATGAGTAATATTTTAGAAAGAAGAACAATAGGTTGAAGGCAAAAACAACAATCAGTAATGGGGCCCAGCTTTTAATGCAAGCTGATGGACTTTCAAAACGAAAGTGCTCATTAAATCTCAAATGGAAGAAAACCAGTAATCTTTAAAAGTTCTTTGTATTGGAGCTAGGAATTATTCAAATATTATAAGCTTTAGGTTCCACATACGTGTTTCCTTACCAAGGGGAATAGGAACCAAGGAGCGATTGCAGTGGAAAAGCAGAGTTGAAGAAAGAGATAGCTTACACCAATCTACCTGATTTCTTTTAGGAAGGCCTAACTTCATAGCGCCAAACAAAAATTAATACAAACAATTCAAGTTCTGAGAAAGTTAGGCAACTGTTCAACTCTTAGAGTAGAAAGGATTCAAGATACAAGTCTTTCGGTCATCACCTGGGACTCTGAGAAATTGCCACACTTTAATACCAATTATGGATATGCTAAAGTTGAGATCAGATATAGAGCTTCAACCAAACTTCTGATTAAATAATTAATAAAAACAAGTCATACCATTTTCAACAACAAGCTATGGAAATATACAAGGCATTCACTACCAGATCTTTAAAGCAAAAGAAGAAATTAATTCTATGAGGGTTGAATGAAAAGTAATGCCTCTACCTTAGTTTAAATATAGATATTTTAATAAATGCAACAGGAAAATAATCCTTGAAATGAGCTCTTTAGTAACTGTATTTACTTTTCTACATAATCCCCATCATTCCCTACACACTTCTACCAATGATAGACAAGCTTCTTCTACCAATTATGGATAAGAACACTTCACTTTGTCTCTTTGGTCAGGTTTTGACAGACCTTTCCACCTCTTAATTTGAATCAAACTGATGCCCATTAAGGTATTCTTTCAGTTCTGGGAAAAGATTGAAGTTGCATGGCGCCATGTCTGAACTGCATAGCAGATGGAGTAAGACAGTGGGATCCAACTTGACAGTTGCCTTGGGTGCTTGTGAATTGTGAAGCTTAGCATTGTTGTGTTATAGCAAAGTTTCCCTTTTCAGCTTCCTACCTCTGCTTAATTGTCCCTTCAAAGTTTTTACTTTTGCAGTGTACTGCTCTGAGGTATTAGTGGTGCTAGGTTCAAGAAATCCATGTCAGGCTGGCAATCTGCATGCCAAAAAATTATAACATGAATTTTCCTGCTGAAGCCTGGATTTTTTAAAAAAATTTTTTTTTGGCAGGTGAAGCTTTATGATATTCCATGGATTGACTCTTCATTTCTAGGTCACAATGATGAGCCCATGTTTCATCAGCTGTCATGATGCTGTGAATAGATTCCTTACCTTCATTCTTGTAGCATAACAATTGCTGGCAAATTTCAGCTCTTGAAACTTTAATCTTTGCTGTCAGCATACAAGAAATCCACCTTGCACAAACCTTCTGAAGAACATCAATTATGTGATGCACATGTTCCTATGAAATGCCAAACCTGGCAGTAATTTCCCTTTGAGTGATCTGCTAATTGTCCTTAATCAGTTCATCAATCTTTCTTGTGTGAACTCATTGATTGCTGTCATCCATTTTGCTCTTGCCACCCTGAGTTATTTATAAAAATAATAAAGGCGGGATTAAAAAAAAACTTTAAAAACATTTTTAAAAAATCATCTGTTCCTGAGTTACTATCTTTACATTTTTGGCACAGCAACACACTACTCGTGTCAGTCATCAAAACAACCTGAATTTGGTGAATTTCAAATGAAAGTACTCCTTTGGCAGTCAAAAATCCAATCATGGCACGCTGATGAATATTTACCACAGGCTTCCATTTAATGTAGTAGTAACACAATTTTTCTCACAGCAGCTACCAGCCTAAGTGAAAGAAAAGACACTGATAACACATCAGAGTTTTAATTGCATCAGTACTGCTACTGGTGACTTACAACATTACTTTTCATTCAACTCTCATAGAAAATGGTTATTAAGTACTATTTAATAAGAGACATCTGACTAATTAACTAATGAGGTGAGGGAGGAATGGTTCCATATTGTTTCATCACTTTTCATCCCGTCTTCAATCTGCCCTTTGTAGGGAAGGTTGTTAAGAAGGTAATCAGCTTACAGTTCCAGAGGGCCCTGGAGGAAGTTGATTATCTGCACCCCTTTCAATCTGCACTCAGGCTGGGTCATAGTATTGAGACATCATTGGTCACACTTGTCAATGATCTTTGGTGGGCTCAGGATGGGGATAGTGTATCCATCCTGGCCCTCCTTGATCTCTTAGCAACTTTTTATATCATTGATCACAGTATCATTCTGGGCTGGCTTAGGGGATTGGATGTTCACAGTAAATCTAGTGGTGGTTCTCCTTTCTCCAGTTGCTGTGGGGTGGGGGAGAGATCAAGCCTGAGGCCCCTGCTTTGTGGGGTGCCTCAAAGCTCCACTCTCTCCCTGCTCCTATTGAACATCTACATGAAGCCACAAGGTGAGGTCATTTGTTGACACAGGATAAACTATCATCAGTACTCTAATGATACCAAGCTGTATATCTCCATGGTTATTTCCCAGTGCCTGGAAGCAATTTGGGGGTCCTGGACTCATGCCCCCTGCTCAAAGAGTAGGTGGCAGCTGTGGCCAGAGAACCTTTGCACAGGTTCATCTTTTGTAGTAACTGCAACCTTTCTTGAACAGGAGAACTTACTCATGACTCATACCCTAGCCACCATCATTTGGATTACTGTAATGCGCTTTATATGGGGCTGTCCTTGAAGAGCACTTGGAAGCTGCAGCTGGTCCAAAATGCAGCAATGCAGGTGGGTTTTGGTGTTTGTTGTTTTATGCCTATATAACACCATTGCTCCATGAGGTGTACTGGCTCCCAGTAGGTTTCCGGGTATGATTCAAGGTGGTGGTTATCACTTATAAAGCCCTGCACATGGGGCTATTTGTGGGATCACTTGTTTCCTATCATTTCTTTGCCCCACCAGATCTAGCAGGGGAGCTATGCTCTGGGTACCTTCTATCAAATAATGCCATCTTGTTGGATCCAGGAGTCATGACTTTTCTGTTGTAATGTCTGCCCTGTGAAACAGCATCCCTCTGGAGATTCAGATGGCCCCACCCGTTGGTCTTTTG